TGGCAATAACTTACAAGTTGGGGTAATGTAGGCTGAAAAAATAGAGTTATCTCTTTATCAGTGTGATGCACTCTTCACAACAGCTATCACAGTCTTCATTTTTTTATTTTCAGGTTTTATTCCCCTTCAATAGATAATCTTACAAATTATGAAATTTAAGGCCAACAAGGCAGGCATAAAATTGGTCACTTTTCTTCCTTTTTGCTCCTGGATATCTATACTACATTCAGTCTGGTTTTCTTCCTGTGCAGAAGGAAAAGATTGTTTGTTTGTTTGTTTGTTTGTTTGTTTTCTTAGGCCCTTTACTACCCTTATTTTCTTTATTCTAATTTCTGAGTTTTTTTCCAGTCTCTAGTCTTTCTGCCAGCATCTTCTCATCTACTTGCAAACTAGTTTTTTCCCTATTTTTAAAAAAGATTTTATTTATTTACTTTTAGAGGGAAAGGAGGAAGAGAAAGGGAGAGGTAAATCTGTGGGTTGCCTCTCACATGCCCTCAGCGGGGGACCTGGCGCCCAACCCAAGCATGCACCCTGACCGGGAATCACATCAAACTGGCCACCTTTCGGCCAGCACTCAGTCCACTGAGCCATACCAGCAAAGGTGTTGCCTCCCTCCTGTAAAGATTTTCATTTATACTCTTTTCCCATCTTCTTTAACTGTTAACCCCAAACTGCCCTGTTTGTTATGCTTGTACTTTACCACCTCATTCCTTTAGTCCTTTGCAGTTTTTTTCCTATTCCTTTTAACTAAACTTGTATTATCAAGGTTACTTATTTTTTGATTTATTGATTTTAGAGGGAGAGGACAGGGGTTGGGGGGGGAGAGAGGGAAACATCGATTTGTTGTTCCACTTACTGTATGTGCCCTGACTCTATGGGGATGGACTTGGCACATTGGAGTGACGGTCTAACCAACTAAGCTACCCAGCCAACCAAGGTTTCAAGGTTACTTTTTTTTTGTTTTTTCTTTCCAAAGGTTGGGTTGGTTATTTACTTATTTGTTTGCTTGTTTATTTATTTATTGAGAGGAAGGTAAGGAGAGAGGGAAACATCAATGTGTAAGAGGACCATTGATCAGTTGCCTCTCATGTCTGGAGCTGGGGGCCCAGCCCGCAACCAAGACCTGTGCCCTCACCAGGAATTGCACAGGCAACCTTGGTTTGCAGGATGATGCTCAACCCACTGATCCACACCAGTCATGACATTCAGGGTGACTTTTTATACTTGAGTCCAGTGGCATTTTCTGTATTCAAGACTATTGGTATTAATGATCTACCTCTCTTTTTGTTAACCCTTGCCTCAGTTTGCATTTATGATCAGAAAAAGATGATAAAAAATTAATACTTGCTGTGGTTAAAAAGTGAAGTTATACTGAAATGTACAAAGCAGAAAATAAAAGATCCTATAATCTTGTGCTCCAGAATTAACCATTGTTATGTATTAGTGTTCTGTTTCCAGATATATTTCTATTTGCATATAAACATACCCCCACTTTTTCTTCCTTTAAAGACAAATGGGTTTAACCAATAGATTTTAAAAAAATTTAACAGTAAATTGCTCATATCATTCCATGCTTATTACTGATATTTTTCTTGATGTTGTCCTCTGGCACTAGAATGGTAAGTGCCATGAAACCAGGGCTCTTTAATTTCTTGCTCTGATGCATTTATTTACCTAGAACAGTGTCTTACACAAGTAGATTATCAGTGTGTATTTGTTCAGTGAATGAAAACCATTCACTGAGCTTAGAATTCTATTTCTCACTGATCTGAAACAAACACAATCATATTACCCAGCTCTGCTGGTATGTGCATTGAACAGTAAGAGAATCTGATGTGTGAATTACTGTTGCAGGAAATTTGTCAGTGTGATAGTGAGCCATGGTGGCCTGTTAAAGTTGGGTAATGGGGTAAAATCTTTTCAAGAGGTAACATTAAAGTTGAGTTCTGAATGACAAGGGGAGAAGGGTATTTCAAAAAGAAGATGCAGCTAGTAAGTACCAAGGACAGAAAGCAGGAACTTTGTCATTATTTGTTTCATAAGGTTCACTTCATCTCATTGGCTTTCATGGTTAACATACACAACTCATTGTATTATTTTGATAATTCTTAAAGCACGTTTCCTAAGTAAATTGCAGTGGTTGGAACTGCACTAATAAGCAGCAATCACTGTGCATATGGCTATTAAAATTAAATGGAACTTAATATTCAGTTCCTCATTTTCACTAGCCATAGTTGGAGTGGCTGATAGCTGCTATATTGGACCACACAAATATAAAACATCACTGATGTATAGAAAGTTCTATTGTGTAGCAGTGATTTGTAGAGTCACTAGAATATAAACTACTTGAGAGACTTTATAGTTTGTTCATTGCTATACTCCTAGTGTCTGACAAGTAAAAAATATTTATTACAAATAAATATTTGTAAATGATAAGTAAGTGGATGGAATAATTAAAGATGAGCCATCTGTTTCCAGATGAAATGAGCCTAAACTCTTGAGATGAGAAAGAGCTTATTGTGGGATTTTTTTTTGGTCTGATGTCTAATTTTTTTTTGTAGAATGAAAAGCTCTTTTTAATTAAAGTACAGTTGACATACAATATCATATTAGTTTCAGATCTATAACATAGTGAGATTTTGCATTTATACACCTTACAGAGTGATCAGCACAAAAAGTGTACTATCCATCTATCACCATACAAAGTGACTGTGATAGTTATCGACTGTGTTCCTATGCTGTACTTTACATCCCTATGGCTTATTTATGTTACAGTTACAAGTTTGTATCTCTTAATCCCCTTCACCTTCTTGCCCATACTCCCAGAGTTACCCAACCCTCTAGTAACTATCAATTTTTCTGTGTCTATGATCTGTTTGTTTTGTTCATTCATTAGTTTAGCTATTTAGGTTCCACGCGTAAGTGAACTGAAACAGTATTTGTCTTCCTCTGATTGATTTTACTTAGCATACATAATACTGTCTAGGTCTCTCTATGTTGTCACAAATGGCAAGATTTCAATCTTTTCATGGCTCTGTGATATTTCTGTGTGTGCGTGTGTAGCAATATTTATGTGTGTGTCTCCACTTCTTCGTCCATTCATCTGTTGATGAACACCTACGTTGCTTCCGTATCTTGGCTGTTGTAAAGAACACTGCAGTGGACGTAGGGGTGCATATATCTTTTCGAACTAGTGTTTAGGATTCTTCAGATATGAGCCAGAAGTGGGATTGCTGGGTCTTTCTTTGCCTTTTGTTATAGCCTTTGTTTTGAAGTCTGTTTTGTTTCATGTAAGTGTTGCTATCCCAGGTTTTTGTTTGCTTCTATTTTCATGAATTAAATTTTTTATCCCTTTACTTTCAGTCTGTGTGTCTTTCAATCTGAAGTCTCAAATAGGCAGCAAATATAAGGGTCTTGTTTTTTTTTAATTCATTCAATCGTTTTTTTCAATGGAGCATGTAGTTAATTTACATTTTAAGTAATTTTTGATAAATATGTACTTATGGCCATTTTAATTATTTTTATACTAGATTTATAAGTGGCTGGTTTACTGTGTTTATTATCTGTCTTCACTAGTGAGATTTCTTTTTCTTTCATACATATTCTTATTTCTAGTTTTGTCCTTTTCAATATAAAGAACCTTTAACATGTGTTACAATGCTCCTTTAGCTTTTGCTTCTTGGTGGGCTCACTGGTGCACAGGTCAGGCTTTCAGTGTGGTTGTCTGTGAGGCCCAGCCCTGCTATTGCAGAGTGTGGGTGTTGGTGCCTACTGAGGCTGCCCACTGGGTGTGGCAGGGCAGGAGCTGCTGCAGAGGGGTGCATTTTCCTGGGTGGGTCCTCAGGAAAATGCCAGGATGGGGAGAACAGTATTGGAAGGGTTAATGGGGAGTGTTAGAAATGGTGCCTGCCACTGTCAAACCAGCTAGGTTAAAGAAAGGGGGGAAATGGCACCTGCCAGCACCTGTGACTCAAGAGAAAGTTTGGTACATCCCCGTGCCTCCAGCATGCACCCTAAAATTAGTCAATGTGTCTAGGTTCTTTTCAAACTGCTACCTCTGTGCCGGGATTCAAAAATACTGTAGCCTGGGTTTCTACAACTCTTTGGCTCTCTCACACCTAAGCCCCACTAGTGTTCAAAGCCAGATGTAATGGGAGTTCCTCTTCCTGGTGCAGGTCCCCCAGGCGAGGGCTTGGACCCCATGCTCTTTGGGGACAACCTCCGCAGTTTTGTGATATCCCTTCCACTTTGTTACTTACCACATGGGGAGTGGGGGATAGGGTAGGTCCTGACTGGACTTAGTCTCTACACCCCTCCCCTGAAAGTTTCAGTGTGGCTTTTTCTTTATATCCCTACTAGGAGAAAATCTGTTCTGCTAGTCTTCAGGTCATTATCAGAGATAGCTGTTCTATATGTAGTTGTAGTTATGCTGTTAATGAGAGGCTGTGAGCTCAGTATATTCATATTCTGCCATTTTGAACTTGAATCAGGAGCCTTGCTCTTGGATACCAATTTGGCTTGTCCATGAAATGTCATTTCTTGTGGTTGGGTGCACTGCCCCCACAGAATACATGTGCTTGTTGTGTTTGGAGAACAGAAAGGAGACTGGCTAGACCAGAAAGAAGAGTGATGATTTGAGATTAATTTAGAGATTAGGCAACTTGAACACCACAGGCAATGTTAAACCTTGTAAGTTTTATTTTAAGTGCAGTGGGAAGTGATAGAAAGGTGTGTAGCACAGCAATAATATGATCTGATTTGGATGATTTTTTGAGCTATTTCATTTTACTAGCTTTTTGAGGGTTTTGTTAATAAGATGGTAGGTATAACGATTTTTGAACTTGGGTGTTTGAGTAAGTAGACTGCTTGAAATCCATATTATTTACTTAATTTATACTATTAGCACTAGCATCCTTGTTTTTATGTTTGTTTTAATAACTGTCTACTTATAAGCAGGAACTTATAGGCAAGAACTCGTTTTTGTTTTTGCTTTTTTCCAGTGAAGGTGGTGTTTTTAAGGCTCATCTCACTTTTCCAAAAGATTATCCCCTCCGGCCTCCCAAAATGAAATTCATTACAGAAATCTGGCACCCAAATGGTAAGTTATCTAGTTTTACTGTTACATTTACAAATGTGATGGCCTATCACTGAAGTTTTCAAGGTCATTAAGAAAGATGTAGTTCTCAATGAAATTGCTTTGGAATTTTACACTAAGTTCATTGTTTTTCTTATGTGCATGGCTGTGCATTAGGTTCTTTAGATGAGAAGGAGTAACAGATCATGTGAAAAAATGGCTTTGTATTTATTTTCTTAGTTTTCAGTTCTTTGAATCTCATGATGTGGCTTATGATGTTCCAAACTAGAGGCAAGTTTGGTGGGTGATAAGAGATTCGGCATCAGTAGAACTCTTACGATTGAAAACATTAAAAAAATTAATTTATTTATTTTTAGAGAAAGGAAAAGGGAGGAGGGATCAAGCAAGGGAGAGGAACATCGACTTGCAAGAGAAACGTTAATCAGCTGCCTCTTGCAGGCCCCCAACTGGGGACCTGGCTGGCAACCCAGACATGTGCCCTGACCAGGAATTGAACTGGCATCCTTTCAGTTTGCAGGCTGGTACGCAGTCCACAGAACCACACCAGTGGGGGTGAGGACATAATTTCAAAGGCATTAGGTGACTCTTCAGCTATTACAAAGAGCACAGAAGCAATTAAACCTGGATTGTTTCGTTGTATTTTTTCTTCTTGGCTCTTGAACCTTTTTATCTATATTCTTAGCTATAAAAAAGGTAATGTTCTACCTTCCTCATAAGGTGACAGGGTGACAGGGTATCAAATGAGGTAAAATACTATATGTTTTAATCTGTGGAAAGCATCCAGTATTGCTGTTCATGAAATAGATATTGGTTGTGTTACCTAAGGCCATGCTACCATTTAAACTCTTCTTTGTGAGCCAAAGGTTAAGCTAGATAAGCCATGTTTATTATACACAGTCTCCTTGAACTTGTGGCCTTGTTTTGTATGAGCTTACAAGGATTTCTTTTCTGAGTATTTTATAATCACCCATCTTTCTTTCTTTTTTTTTTTTTTTTTTTAAGATTTTATGTGTTTGTTTGTTTGTTTGTTTTAGAGAGAGGGGGGAGAGCAACATCGATTGGTTACCCTCCTTCTGAGGACAAAGCCCACAATTCAGGCGTGTGTCCTGACTGGGAATCAAACCTGTGACCTTTTGCTTTGCGGAACAAGGCCTAACCAGCTGAACCACATCAGTCAGGGCTCAGCTGTCTTTTTATACTACTACATAACCTGCATTTTGTTTCTTAAAGTTAGGTTCTTTTGGGTGCAAGGAAGAAAACCTTTATTAGTTTAAACAAAAATTAGTAACAGAGTAATGGATTATTGAATAAATTAAGGCATTATTGCATGGATAGGGAGTATGTATTAACAACCCAAAGGCTTGAAAACCAGATGGGTCTTGTGCAAGACCAGAACTGGCAAATGGAAAACTGGGAACTGAGGGAACCACCACACTTCATCACATTTACGGTTCCGCGGCCACCTAAGGCACTGCTCCTCCGCACCCAGCTGTGAGAAGCGGCAGAGGGGGGTCGCCAATTCCCCCACTCTGGCCACGCCCCCACATACAGCGTCACAACCCAGCGACCTGGGAATCCAAGGCGCCGGCTTCTCACACTTAAAGGGCCCGAACAGACCAAGAATGGCGCAGGAGGATCTCAGAGCCCCAGAGCCAATAAATCTAAGCGATGAAGAAATAGCGAAACTCACAGACGCACAGTTTAAAACATTGGTGATCAGGATCCTCACAGAACTGGTTGATTATACTGACAAATTAGACAAATATATGAAGGCGAAACTAATTGAAATGAATGGAATTGCACAGGACACCAATAGCAATGAAAAGGAAACTGGGACTCAAATCAATGGAGTGGACCAGAAGAAAGGAAATAATGGCCAAACAGAAAAGAGTCAAGAAGCAAGAATTCAAAGAAATGAGGAGAGTCTTAGGAACCTCCAGGACATCTTTAAACGCTCCAACATCCGAACTATAGGGGTACCAGAAGGGGGAAAGGCACAGCCACCAGTGGAAAACTTATTTGAACAAATAATAAAGGAGAATTTCCCCAATCTGGCAAAGGAGATAGACTTCCAGGCAATCCAGGAAGCTCAGAGTCCCAAAGAAGTTGGACCCAAGAAGGAACACACCAAGGCACATCGTAATTACATTAGCCAAGATTAAAATGAAGGAGAGAATCCTAGAAGCAGCAAGAGCTAAGGGGACAGTCACCTACAAAGGAGTCCCCATCAGACTGTCAGCGGATTTCTCAAAAGAGACCTTACAGGCAAGAAGGGGCTGGAAAGAGGTATTCCAAGTCATGAAATCTAAAGACCTACAACCAAGATTGCTCTATCCAGCAAAACTTTCATTTAGAATGGAAGGACAGATAAGGTGCTTCTCAGATAAGATCAAATTCAAGGAGTTCATCATCACCAAGCCCTTATTATATGAAATGTTAAAGGGACTTATCTAAGAAAAAGAAGTTAAAGAAACATGAACAGTGAAAGAAACGAAAACAAAAAAAGAGAAAAAAAAAAAAGATAGCGGTGATTACAAAAGCCACGGTTATTTTTTTGTTGTTGTTAGGAAGGAATAATAAAAACATCTCTGTAGCAATTTAAGTAAGAAGAGAGAAAAATATCCTTTAGCAATTTATTTGTGGGAGAATCTGTTAACAGTAGTCCTACATGAGGTATGGATGCACAAATTAAAGACATTTCACCTCTTGTTTCTTTGAAATTTCTTTTATTTATTCCTAGCCTTTTGGCAGTTTCTTCCACTTCATTTGAATTAGTTGATGTGTAAGAGGCAATCTCTTTACACCTATTTTAAAAGAAGACGTGATCTGTTCTGTCTGGTGTAGCTCAGTGGATTGAGTGCGGGCTTGTGAACCAAACAACCGTGGTTTGATTCCCAGTCAGGGCACATGCCTGGGTTACACGCCAGGTCCCCACTAGGAGGTGCACAAGAGGCAACCACACATTGATGTTTCTCTCTTTCTTTCCTTTCCTTCCTCTCTAAAGATAAATAAATAAAATATAAAAAAAAGTAAAATAAAAGAAGACGTGATCCCTGGTTGGTATGGCTCAGTGGATTAAGCACCAGCCTGCAAACCAAAAGGTTGCCAGTTCCATTCCCAGTCAGGGAATGCCTGGGTTGCAGGCCAGGATCTCAGTTGGGGGTGTGTGGGAGGCAACCGATTGATATGTCTCTGGCACATGGATGTTTCTTTCCTCTCTTCCCCCTTCCTTCCCCTGTCTAAAAGTAAATAAATAAAAATCTTCAAAAGAAAATGTGACAGGGCTGCTGACTGTTACACCAGACTAGCTGTATAATCTGGGACAGAGCCTCTCTGAGCCGTAGTTTCTCTGTTAGAATTAACTGGCAGCACATACGGTATGCAGAGCACCTGGCACTTCTTTTCTGGTAAGAGGATAGCAGTGACCTAGGGAGTTTACGAGGGTAACTGATGAAATGAGGTGTGTAGTTTTGTTTTAAAGATTGAAGGGACTTTTTTATTTTGTAGGCCATAAAGGAGAAGGCATGAGAAAGTGAAATAATTAAGACTTCATTTGAGAGAGGGGGTCCTTTGTGAAGAAAAGATAACTGAGGAGGCGATGGGGCAATGGTGGCGAGTATAGGAAGAGTTAGACTAGGATAAGAGTGAAAAGTGATTTTGAAATATATTGAGAGGAAAAACAGGCACATGACTGTTTGCTAGGGGCTGGAGATATAAAGATGATTAGATTAATGAGTTATGGTCTCTTTCTGTAAGAATATTATGGTCTCTGTAAAGCAAAGGTGGACATGTGAACTTAATGGTGAAACTGAGCGATTACAGTGATGGTAGTTATAAGGTATTGGTAGCACAGAAGAGAAAGTTAGAGAATATGAGTCTTGAACAGAAATTTGAATCTGTAAATGCCTGCCTTGAACTTCGTTCTTTAGGCTGTGGGAATTCATTAAAGTTTTATAGATTTATTGGGACTATGTTTTCTTCCAGAAAGATTATACTCATAGGGGAAAGATTGGAAGGGGAAGGCTGACTGATAGCCAGGAGATTGGTGAAGATTTTTTCAGTTGTTCCAGTAAGAGACCAAGTTTGAACTAAGAGCAGTGGCAGGGAGGAAAATTTGGTTATTCTTACTTGTTGACTAACAAATATGGGTAGTAATGGAGAGGCAAGAATTTAGAATAGATGGACCATTTACAAAATAATTGTAGAATCAAAATCACAGTGAAATAACACGTTATCCCACTGTAGTAAATAAGTGTTGGACCCTGGCTGGTGTGGCTCAGAGGATTGAGTGCTGGCCTGCGAACCAAAGGGTTGCTGGTTCAATTCCTAGTCAGGACACGTGCCTGGGTTGTGGGCCAGATCCATAGCAGGGGGTGCACAAGAGAAGAGCATGGATTGATGTTTCTCTCCCTCTCTTTCTCCCTCCCTTCTCCCCTCTAAAAATAAATTTTTAAAAAAGAGAAAAAATTTAAAGAAATATTTAAAAAAATAAACAAGCATCGATAAGAAGGTAGAGAAATTATAGCTTTCATACACTAGTGGCAAGAATGTGAAATGGTGCAGCCACTTTGGAAAACAGTCTGGTACTTCTTCAAAAGGTTAAACATAGTTACCTTATAATCCAGCAATTCCATTCCTAGATAACCAAGAAACTTGAATATGCCCACAAAATATGTGAATGTATGTGAATGTTCGTAGCAGCATTAGACATAGCCAGAGAAGTAGAAACCACCCAAATGATTATCAGTTTTACAAGTAGAAAGATAAAATGTAATGTCCCTATAATGGTATGAGATACTGACACATGCTACAATATGGATGACATTGTTAAACTTAATGTTGAGTGAACAAAGCCAGTTACAAAAGATCACATAGGGTGTAATTCTGTTTATGTGACACATTTAGTATAGGCAAGTCCATAGAGGTAGAAAGTACATTAGTGGTTGCAAAGGACCTGAGGGGGAAGGCTGGGGAACATGGGGAGTGGTTGCTAATGTGTATAGAATTTCTTTCTGGGGTGATGAATATGTTCTCAAATTGATTATGGTGATGATTGTACAGTTTGGTAAACATACTGTGAGCTATTCTGCACTTAAAATATGTGGATTGTATCTCAATAAGACTGTGATAAAAATTACTCTAGGGTAAAGATTAGCTTTGTGTAGTTAAAATACATTCAATTTTTGATATGTTTTTCTTGAGATACACTTGCCATATACTCAGTTAGATAATTAGGTACTAGTCCAAGTGAGCCTTGAGCAGGGAGCTCAGGGCCTTGGAAGTTATTGGCATCCAGATGACAGGTAATATGTATAGTACAGTGTTATGTGTTAAGTATATTTCAGTAAAGCCAAGGGGTGGGTGGGGAAGATGGGTGATATTGTGATAGAACAAATGAGTTCATTTACCCAGGGAAGAGATGATTATTATGGGAGATAAGGACAACATCAAAAGTCAGACCAAGGAAAAGGAAAACTGGAAAGTAAGTGAGAGAATGGCTCAAGAACTGAGGAAAGTAAGTGTATCACAGAAACTAGGGGAGGAAAATGTGTCCAGGAAGGTGTCCTCAACAGTATCAGTTATTTTTGCCCAGAAGGGTTGACTTTAGAAGTACTCAGGAGAATGTGTTCTCAGACTACTTTGTGAGAATAGTCATAGCATCCTGATAGGGGGCACAAGCCAGTTTCCAATAAGGAAAAGAGAGTACCCAAATAGTAAATAAATCGAGAAGATGAGAGTAAATTGGACTTGCATTAATTTTAGACACACAACTTTAAGAAGTAGATTGCTCGAAGGGTTTGTATGGTTCAGGTAGTTTAGTTTTAAGATGGAAGAAGAGATATGTTTTCTGTTCAGTAATTGATGCCCAGATTATTGGCTAGCTATTTATGGGGAAATTGATATAGAAATTTTCTTCACACCAAACAGCAAAGTAAGTGAGCTAAAACTCTAAATGGAATAAAAAGTTTTAGGTGATTAAAAAAAATAGTAGTGAATATAAATTGTTTCCAGGGTGTTGGGGATAAGAATTTTCTGCTTTCCAAAGCAATAAATATTGAAAGATTACAAAGAGGAGTGTATCCCTGGCTGGTGTGGCTCAGTGGATTGAATGCTGGCCTGCACACCAAAGGGGCGTAGGTTCAATTCCCAGTCAGGGCACATACCTGGGTTGCGAGCCAGGTCTCCAGTAGGGGGTGCATGAAGGGCAACCACACAGTGTTGTTTCTTTCCCTCTCTTTCTCCCTCCTTTCTCTCTCTCTAAAAAATAAAATAAATAAAATCTTAAAAGATGTAAAGACTGATTCTTGGCAGGGGGATGTGCCCTGACAGGGAATCAAACCGGTGACCCTTTGGTTCGCAGGCCGGCGCTCAGTCCACTGAGCCACACGAGCCAGGGCAGATTAGTGAATTTTTTTTTTTTTAAAGATTTTATTTATTTATCTTTAGAGGGGAAAGGAAGGAGAGAGGGAGAGAACTGGCCTGCAACCCAGGCAGCCTTGGGCATGCTTGGTTCGCAGGCCCGCGCTCAGTCCACTGAGCCACACCAGCCAGGGCTAGATTAGTGAATTTTTGACAGGTTCACTAATTTAAATGAGTTAGTAGAGTAGAGCTTTGCCTTTTTTTTTCTTTTTGCACCAATAATTAATTTGTGACTTGGATTTTAAAGTAGTTTTATCGAAAAAACTATTTTCATTTTGATGAGTTTTCACTGGCAATATTGCATGTTTCTTTTGTGAATCTGAGTATGCTCCTTTCCCCAAAAATACAATTTTGCCATTATTTGATTTTAAAAGTACATTATGATGGTACTTTTCATTTTTTTCCTTAGGTAAATCTTTGGACCTTTAACTGTCACCCATTCAAATTAGTAAGTTAGTGGCGAAATTAGGAAATCATTACATGGAAACTCGTTTCTGGTGTCTGGACCATGTACTTTCTACAAATAAAGAACAGTTTCAGTAGGTGCCATTTATTAATTTCATTGTACAGTAAGCCCTCACTAACGCCATCAATAGGTTTTGCAACTTTAAGCTAAATGACAGATAATGAATCCAGTTTTCCCATGGGCTAACAAGACTTAAGTTCCTATGGCATTTCATCTATGCTATAAGGAAATGACATTGAACAAAACCTTATTGCTATATTTACTACATGTAAATGCTAGGCGACATCTACATGCTAGCTGTCTTGAAGTTTTGCCCAAATGAAAAAGATAGCTTACATTCCTATTGGATTAGTGAGATGGATCCTATTTGGTAAAATCTGTGGTCTTCCTAGAAAGTTAACAGGTTCTATTTTGCAAATTAACTTCTGTTTATATTCATTGTTTTATACAGGTACTGTGGGAATCAGGACCACATCGATAATAGATGTCTTAGGTATAACCAAATTATTTCAAATATTTTAAACAGAACTGTTTTCTTCTAATTTTGCAGTTGATAAAAATGGTGATGTATGCATTTCTATTCTTCATGAGCCTGGTGAAGATAAATATGGCTATGAAAAACCAGAGGAGCGCTGGCTCCCCATTCACACTGTGGAAACCATTATGATTAGTGTTATTTCTATGCTGGCAGACCCTAATGGAGACTCACCTGCTAATGTTGATGCTGCGGTAAGGGTCACATGCGGATCTTTCCTCCCCTTTAAACCCAGTGAGAACTATAGTATCTATATGTCTATCTGTGTGTCTGTGTATATGTGTCTACATACCTATTTATATCCATTTATTTCTCTTCTAAATCTATACAAAAATAAGTTACAGAGACAACTAAGCGTCACCCTAAATACTTGAACATGCATCTTTTAAGAATAAGGACACCATCTTACATGTCACACCTAACAAAATTTAATATCAGGTCCATATTATTATTCCCAAGTTTTAATTTTTAAAACTTTAAGATCTGTAAAAATGTTTCATTAGTTAAATAAAAATGTCTATATCCTTCACCTAGATTCACTAATTTCAGAGATTTTACTTGTTCTTTTTGCCAGACTGTTTGAGAATGCTTTATAGATATCCTAACTCTTCATATTTGAATACTTCAGCATGTATCTCCATAGAACATATAGGCATAATACAAGTCTATCATCGATACAGTACTATTATTATTGAATATACATATGTAGCCCATACTCAAATTTCTCCAGTGTTGTCCTTTATTGCTGTCTTTTTTGGTTAGTATTGAAAATCCAGACTCTCAGAACCCATATTGTATTTTATATTCACATTATATTTTGTTTTATTAGTCTTCAGTAGTCTGAGTTCATTAGCCTTCTATCTTCTTTGAAGAACCTTTTTCCCCCTCATTCTTGGAACTTTTCTTACTGTATATGAAATGAAAGCAAGGTGATTAACTTCATGTTTTTTTTCTTGGGTTACTTCAAACCTACAAAAAAAGTTGGGTGAGATCTTACATGTAGAAATACACTACATAGATAACCCCTATTCATGTCTGTGGCTTTGAAGTTCTACATTTAGTAATCAAATTGAAGTAAAAACTGGTAGAACACTGTTCTGATTTTCTATTTAGTCAAGTATAAGTTCAAACAATGTAAGGTGGTAAGAGAAGTAAAAGCCACTTTAAAAAATCCTGTAAAATCATTTTGAGAGAGAAGTAGTTGCTGTTTCATTCTCAACTATCTGCTCTTTTTAATAAGATTGGAATTGACAAGTTGAGTTTGAGTCTTTAAGAAAGAGAAATTAAGAACAAATAAATACTTGACAGTGTGAATGGGGAAAATTACTAACTCTTCGAAACAGCTGAGTCCTGAAATAACAGAACATACTGAAAAAGTAGTCATTCTCTTGATGCTAAACATTTTTATAAGGGTAGAAATAGGCCTCAATATAAAGTTCAAGTATGTGGTGGTAGGTGAGTGGGGGGTAGGGCAGGAGAGAGTAATGGAGGGGAAGTGGGGACAACTATAATTGAACAATAAAAAAATATAAAAAGCCCTGGCTGGTGTAGCTCAGTGGATTGAGCACAGGCCTGTGAAGCAAAGGGTCACTGGTTTGGTTCCCAGTCAGGGCACATGCCTGGGTTGCAGGCCAGGTCCCCAGTAGGGGACACACAAGAGGCAGCCGCACATTGACGTTTCTCTCCCACTCTTTCTCCTTCCCTTCCCCTCTCTGTAAAAAACAAATAAATAAAATATTTTTAAAAATATATAAAAAAATTAAGTTGAAATATGCAAACTTGACTTCATAGACTGTACAAAATCTATCCCATTTTTTCCCTCAAAACCCACTGCTGCTTTTTCTGATTTAACCAGTTAACTATCTCATATTTAGATCATAGCTTTCTTGTAAACAGTTGTGTTTACCTTTCTTACTTTCTTTCTTTCTTTCTCTTGTATTGCATACCTTTTACCATATTTTCATATATTTTCGGTTTGTTTTTGTAACCTCTCAATCAGTCAGTGATATGTATTCCAGAAAACTCTCGTTTTTCTTGGAGATCTCTCTCCTGGATCCCTCCAGTTTTTTGCTTCAGATTAGATTGATTCAGTCTGTTGCTTGGCTGCTTTCCTTGAATTTCCCTTTCTCCTCTTGCTGTTCTGTATAGAATCATTTATTTCCTGGATCCACAACCACCACCACACCTTTTTTTGGGGGACGGGGGCAATGACTTCTTTCTTTTACTCTTTTTCCTCCAGAGTAATGTTTTAGAAAGGGTATCTGGGAATTAAGTCCTTACATGTCTCATAGTGTTTTTATCCTGACCTTATACACTTTGTTTACAGAATCCTAGGGGAGAAAAATAATATTTCTACAGACTTTCTCTTTAGAATTTGTTGTTAATTGATGAGAAAGTTGATGTTAGGTTGATTCTTGTCCATCTGTAGGTAACCTTTTCTTCTTTCCTTCCCATCCACCTTCACCCCCCCCCCTCCCTCCCTCCCTCCCACCTTCCCCTCCCTTTTCTGGATTTTTTGGTCTTCTGAAATTTCATATTATTATGTAAAAATTTTCCATCTCTCTAATCGATGTAACTTTGAAGACTTCAGCTGCGGTGAATTTTCCTTTATCATTATTTTGAGAATTTTTTTCATGTTTGACATTCTGTACTTTTTTGAGCTTGTAGCTGTAACTCAAATTGGTCCCTTGTATTTTTTTTCCATCTAAAATAGTGCCAGTTTTGAATTTTCTGTCAAATTTTCATTTTCACTTTTAAATTCTTCATTTTTTTCCCTGAATTCCCTTTTCTTGAGATCTTATCACTTTAAGAATTTAGTAGTTTTCTTGGAAATTCTAATCAGAGATTTTTAAAAGTTAAATTCTGAAGTCTCTTCCTCTGAGGTCAGTTTTTCTTTCATATTTTGAAGACTACTTCATAACACTGTAGGACTTCTACACAACTCTCTATGATTAAGAAATAGTAAGAAATGAGGGTTTAGGAAAGCCAACCGGAGCTGTGTGTTTGTGTGTGTGTACGTGTGCAGAATTTTTTCACTCAAGAGTGCAGGTAGCAAGCCAGACAGTAAACTAAGTGAAGGGGTGTCATTTATGTGCCTAAATTAACCAGTTACTTTGAGTACCAATACTCACACTAGCAGATCTAATTCTGTATAATTTGTATGAATATAAATTTATATAGATATACTGTACTCATTATTTTAAGAAGATATTAGATCATTATTAGATTTAATGATGTATATCATTAGATATAAATGTATATCATTATTTTAAGAAGATACTAGAATTTTGGTTATAGGTGGGAGGAAAATACAGACTTTTTATTTTTTTATTTTCAGCTGTACTTCTTACTAACTCATCTCAGGTTTATCATTTTTTAACTTTAGCTTCTATTTAGAGTTCTGTTTACTAGCTTCTTTCGCTCCTTTGTTCTGCTTCCATGAGCCTTTTCTAAGGCTGTCACTTTTGCTTCTCTGCTGCACGTTTCATTACTCTTCTATCTTCCGGTCATTGTACCTTTAGAAAAAAATTCCATACAATCATTTTAATAGGGTCTCAGGAGAGCAAAAAGATACACATGTGTTTTTTGCTCTATTCATAGGTTCTCTATTTATATAAAATGTAGATGATAATAACACCAATCTGGTTATGGCATAGTGAATTCAACAAACGATGGTTATATTAGCTGGTCCCTGTTTTGAAAAGATCATCTACCAGTCTGTCCTTCACTGGACAAGTTATCCTTGCCCAGTCTCATCTCAAGTTACCAGAGAATGTCAGTCATACTGTATAGTCTCTCTAAACCCCTTGCTACCCCTCTGCCATTGACTTGAGTCCTTGTTGATTTCTTGTCCTTGAGATTGACTTTCCCTCTTTTACCTAGAAATACCCTCTTCTTCCTTCTACTTAAAATGATGAGGCAACTATAGACTTTATAACATTTTATCCATAAATTCTTCAGCATACGTCTCAATCTCTGTACATGTTAGCATTATAGTTTATCTCATGATTTATATTAGATTTCAGTGGTGCCTTCCTTACTTGCAGGGCAAAAATGTACTTTTCTAATGTCTTCCTCTGCAAGAGCAAAGATTGGTTTTTGCTGTCTGTAAATGGATATATTAAAGGCTGGACATTTTTATGGGAATTTTCTACTATTCATGGTAGATAAAATCGGCTCTGCTCTCATGTGACACTGTGCTGGTGCTGCTTTGTGTTCCATTTTTGGGTGCTAAGCAGTAGGTAATAGTGGTGCCATGTTCCTCCCCCACCCCCAGCACTCACGGACACACATAGAAGTACAGTACTTCTCATACTGTCGTGGATGGTGCTGAGTGCTCAGTATATTCTCAATGTGATGTACTCTGCCTGTCTACTTATACAAGAGGCACTTTTACGTTTAGATCTTTTTTATTTTCTGGTCACTTCCATCAGGGAGATTTGGTAATCCTTCAGATAGCCTGAGGATCTTATTTGTAAGTTGTACCTTTATTTTCAGTATAATATAAAACTGTTAATGTTCTTTATGATCTTTTCCCTTTTTAAAGAGAATTTTGCCTGTAAAGGTGATTTGCTTGGAGGATTTCTGCTCTTTTATCCCAGCAGTGCCTTGCAAAAGTGTTTTTTGACTATTTTTTCACCATGTCAGCTTAACATGTTGCCAAAGCATTATATCAAAAGTAAACTTAACCTTTGAGAGCATGAGAGAAGTTTGCATAAAACCAGTTGATATCACTTCTGTGCCTACAGAAGGAATGGAGGGAAGACAGAAATGGAGAATTCAAAAGGAAAGTTGCCCGCTGTGTAAGAAAAAGCCAAGAGACTGCTTTTGAGTGACATTTATTCAACAGCTGTAACTTCACTTATTTCAGGGTAAGTTCATTTTTAAAATTATACTATTGTTTTGCCTTTATAAATGTCATGTTTTGGGAAATTATGTGACTTAGTTACTTGATTGCTTTTTCATTGGATTCATATTTTACTGGTGGTATCCAGTAGTTTGCTATTTCTCAGTGAAAACAGTGTAATTTATTTGCTTTTTCTTTTAGTAGACCCAGCTGTTTTTAACTAGATATACCAAGCCGGTTAGTGTAGTAGCAGTCTAGTTCTTTTCAGAAACTAGAGATGGTAAAAAAAAAATTTCCAACAATAAAGTACTCATTTCAACAGTTTCTTCCATTTTACTTTTGGTCTGCTACCTGGACCACTGTTGAACAATGAAATTTCTTATCTCTCTCTTTTCATACTGTATATTGTATATGGTAAAGGATGACTTAAATTTTTGTTTCCTAATTTTTTTAAAGAAAGATTATATTTTGCAATATAATGGCAAGGCCATTAAACACTTACCTTTCTTGTTTTAATTGGGCTTAAGTCTAGCAAGGAATCAAAGCTAGAAGGCACCTATCTGATTTAGAAGGGAACATGGTGTAGGTGAATTGAACGGACGTGTGACATCTACGTTTGGTTTCTTTTTCTCTCTCTCTCTCTTTTTTTTTTTTTTAGGAAAAAAAAACTGTGTATAGAAGATAGCATCTAAGAAATCACAGTTCGTGGTACATTCCTGGAATGTACCTGCTACCTATTTTAAGAATAAGAACTTTACCATTCTTACATCCCCAATATTCTTCTCCTTGACTCTGTCCTTTTCTTATATGTTTATCATTGCTTTTCTTCACGTTATCAAGTTTGTATCCCTAAGCAAAGTATTGCATGATTTGAACTATATATGGAATTATATATATAACACATGCATTTTTGTGACTTATTTTTTCAACATATTACTGAAATTGGTCTGTTATATACAGCTATATTTCATCTATTTTCACTTTTATGTGGTATTTTATTAGATAAATTAGCTCTCTTGATTCTTACTGCAGTTATTTTTCAATTTAAGGTGCTTTTTTTCTAGTTTTGTTTTTGCTATTACAGAAAAATGTGTCTATTCTTGTTTGTTGCAGCACATGTATCAATACTACAAGAGTGTATCTAGGGTATCTACCTAGGGGTGGAATTGTTCAGGATAGATGCACGTCATTTTGACTAGATAATGCCAAATTGCTTTCTAAGATGTTGCATCTATTTATACTCCTATTGACAAGGATAAGAATTCCACTTGCTCCATATCCTCTCCATCATTTGTTATTGTCAGACTTACACAAAATTTTAAATTTGGAATGTGTAAAACAATACATCATTATGACTTAGTGTGGTTGCCCGAATTACCGATGCAGTTGCACACTATTTCCTGTGTTTGTCCATGGATGTTTCCTCTGCGAAATGCCTGTTTTTATCTTTGGACTGTTTCTCTGTTAGGCTACTGGTTTGTATTCTTACCAGTTCAGTTTTCTTTATAGTATCTTTGGATGAACAGAAGTTCTTAATTTTAATGCAGCTGAATTTATTACTTTCCTGTGTGGATTTTACTTTTTGTGTCTTAGTTTTTTCCCTGCCATCAGAATGCTATTATTATATATTGTTTCCTCCTATCCTCCCTTCCTCCCTTTCTCCTTTCCTCCCTCCCTCCCTTTTCAGAGAGAGGGGGAGGGAGAGAAAGTAACATCGATGTGTGAAACATCACTTGGTTACCTTTTGCATGCCCTCAACTGGCCCGCAACCCAGGCCTGTGCCCTGCCTGGGAATCGAACCAGTGACCTTTCTGTTCATAGGCTGGAGCTCAATATACTGAGGCACACCAACTAGGACTTATATATTGTTTTCTAAAAGTTTTGTTCTTTTGCCTTTCATGTATGTGTTGAGTCCACCGAAATTGATTGGTATATGGTATAAGGGAGAAGTTCAACTTTACCCCTCCTACCCCCACAACATATACAAATCTTGACTATATCATTTACTGACAGGTCTATCCTTTGTACACTGATATGCAGTTTTGGTTATGTTATAAATTATAGAATTACATTTTCATGTATGTGTTGTTCTATTTCTGACCTTTCTATGTCTCATCAGTTGGCTTATCTGTCCCTGAACCAGTATTACTCTATCTTAATTTTTATGATTAAATGTACCAAATGCATAGGTGCAAATCAGAATCAAGACTAAAGTCTGTCCACCACTCTTTCTGTTTTCATGTTTGATGTCTCAAATTTCCGAAAAGACTCAGATCTACTTTTAGATCTCCTTATAATAACCTAAAATGCCGAAAGTTTACTTCTTTCTGTTACCACCACATATAACAATAACCTTATAGTCTTCAAGTTATTTCTGTTTTTCATCATTTTATATTCCTTTTATTTTTGCTAATTATTTTGTTCTTATTTTAGTATCATTACCTCCCTCACATCCAGTCAGTGGTCTATTTCTTTTCCCTTTTTGACTCTTGCTTCCTACCACCTTAGATTAAGTTCTGTTACTAGACTTGAACTTAGTCTGCCAGTATTGAACTTCCTTTTTAATTGCCTGCACTTTATCCTGGAAATTTGTTCTGGATACAACTGCCACGTTAGTCTTTGCAAAACCCAGCTCATTGCATTTGTTGGTTTATGAATACGGCAGTGTCTTAGGAACAACAGACACGTGCAGGGCTTGTTTTTCTCACCATTGTCCAGTCGGAGAAGGGCTTGGTGACACAAAGAATTGACAAGAAGGAACAAAATACCATATTGAAGCTAAGTTTATGTGTGATTTTTTACCTTACATAAATAGCACTTTATAAACGTAGCAAATAACCAAGAATTTTATTATACTTACCCTGATGGTATATTGTTATTTAAATAAATTCAGATGAAGTATCATAAATTTTGTATTTTAATATTTTGCTAGCTCAGTAACATAGCTCACATTCCATACAATTTAACACTGTCTTTGATATTTTGCTAGCTCAATAATATACTTACTACTTCTCTTTTTCACAGTTTTGCATATTACTAAGAATCAAAATTTGTATCTTGAAATGAGAGGTAACATGAAGAACAGGCGACACTGAGCTCATTTCAATTCATATCAATGAATAGTTGTTAATTGCCTACTATTTGCAAAGGCATGATAGAGTTCTATAGATACATCATCCCTGCCAGTTAAAAAGCTGTTAATTGAGCCAGTTACATGAGTCATAAAGGTAAGGTTAAATCACATTGAGAGCGTGAGTGGGAGTAGAAGCAGAGCATGGTTTGATAAGCCATCACAGGCCTAAATACTGAATGGGTAGGATGGCTGGGGCAGAAGTTAGACAGAGTTGCTGGGGAGATTGGAAGTCTCCAGAGTAGAGATGGAAATTCATTGAGTGTAGAGAACTGTACTTATCAAAGCCAAGGGCGTCTTGTGCAGTTCTCACAGTGAGGGCACAGAGGGAGGAAACAAATACAGAAACATGTGGGCTGGATGGCCACAAGGACAGTGAGGCATTACAAACCTTGGAAAAGAAGTGGATGTGGATGGTCACCAATGCCACGACATAAGAAAAAGACTGCCATAAAAATCAGTTTGGGGAAGCCCTGGCTGGTGTGGCTCAGTGGATTGAGTGCTGGGCTGGGAACCAAAGGGTCACTGGTTCAATTCCCAGTCAGGGCACATGCGTGGTTTGTAGGCTAGGTCCCTAGTAGGAAGTGTGTAGGAGGCAACCACACACTGATGTTTCTCTTCCTCTCTTAATTCCTCCCTTTCCCTCTCTCTAAAAATAAATAAATGAATAATAAAACCAAATACATATATAAGTACAAATACATAAATCAGTTTGGGGAACAAGCCAGTGGCTTGGTGATGTGGGGAGAGTTGTTGTCTAGTGATACACTAAGTGGCAGGTTGGGATGAATTAGTACTTTTGGAAACAGCCGTGTGAAAGCTGTTTAACTCATGGACTGCTCTCACCTAAGAATAGTTGAGCCCTGGCTGGTGTAGCTCAGTGAGTGGATTGAGCACGGGCCTGCGAACCAGAGGATCCCGGTTCGATTCCCAGTCTGGGCACATTCCTGGGTTGCAGGCCAGGTCCCAGCAGGGGACCTACGAGAGGCAACCATACATTGATATTCTCTCCCTCCCTTCCCCTCTAAATTTAAATAAATAAAATCTTTTTTAAAAAAAGAATAGTTGAGATTATTTGAACACTTACTCCTGAGTGAGTAGAATGTTTATTATTGTCTGTGATATCAAAAAGTGGTTTTTATTTGGAAGCATATTTGCCTGCTTTTTATTTTTAGGGCATTTTTAAAAAGATTACATTGTGTAGCCACATAGAAAATGAATGATTTGCCCTGGCTGATGTGTCTCAATGGGTTGAGTTCCAGCCAGTGAACCGAAAGGTTGCTGGTTTGTTTCCTAGTCAGCGCACATGCCTGGGTTGTGAGCCCAGTTGGGGGCGTGTGAGAGGTCAGTGTTTCTCGCTCTCTCTCTCTTCCTCCCTTCCCCTCTCTCTAAAAAATGATTTTTTAAAAAAATCTTAAAAAAAGAAAACAAATGATCTATTTTTAATTTAAGATAAATGGAATAAGATACATTCTGTCAAGGTAAGTCCTCTCCAGATTTGTAGGATAAAGTCAGGAATAATTAAGAGAAGTTGGGAAACAAAACACAGATACTTTATTATTGCATAAGGACATATAAGTGATATAATCTTAGTACAAAAAGGGTGTGATTTTAACAACAGGTAGATTTATTTTGGTTAAAAATGGGATATGCTTACACATATGCGAATGGCTCTTATGCAAGTAATTCGTTTTCACATCAGTCTTTCTAGAGAGAAGAACGACAGACTTGGTTTTTCTTTGTTGAGAGTACATTTTATTCAGAGGGGAAATAGATTTTTCTATTCCTGCTGATGGAAGCGAATGCTATTTAAACCGGGTCCTCAGTATTAAAAGGCTGGATTGCCCAATTTTAGGTAATGACTTTCATCAGTTGCTTCTCTGGAGTATTTTTCTTTAAAAACCTCATACAGAAACAGTTTTTGATTGATTCTTTTTGTGGCTCTGAAATACCACAGGGAAATGATTACTCAGTGCCCAAACTCTGTACCCAGTTCTGTTTGAGTCCTGAGAGATTAATTGGCCAGGGATTAATTTGAGTTCGGTATAGTCTTTGGAAAAAACATTCAAATAACATTATCTAAAAGATGCAATACCTATTCGATAACAATCTCTCTTGAGTTTCATTCAGTATGTGTCATATGTCTTTAGATTTTCTAATTAAAAATGTGTGCACATATGTATATATGTGTGCAAATGGTGGAACCTGATTCTAGTGAAGATGGTACATTTCATATTTGGTGCATTCATTGCTTTGCTAGGGACCATTCATGTTAATTGATAAACCTCTGTGGAAAGAAATTCAGCAGTAGTTGTATTGCTCAGGAGCCAGGCACATGTAGGGCCACAGGTAGGCCCCCCAGTTTTCTTTCTACCACAACAGAGCTTTGATATGGTTGAATTTGGGTGATTGTAAGATTGATAACTTCACTCGGGTTTATAAAAGACATATTGAACTTTTCACATGTGTAGTGTGAGTTAAATATTTCCATAACTCTAAGTACACTTGACTTCTTCATTGGGAGTTTAAAACTCTTACATTCCCAGTCATCTTCTATTCAAGTTCTTTGTGCTTAACAGTGTTCTTGGCACACAACAAAGGTTCCTGAGTTTGTGGAACATTTGATTTGATGTACCTGGTAATTTTAGTAGGAGTTCTCCTGCTCATTCCCCTCCCTTGCTTCTCCTACATGTTCAAAGCACACGTTAATATAAAAGCTCTTGAAGTTCAGTCATTAAATGATACTAGTGTTTTCCTAACCTTTTAAGCAGGAAGCTTTACCATTTATTAGCTATGTGACCTTGTCTTTTCTCTGTAAAATAGGACAAAATTCCTTCCTATGGTGATTATGAGAATGACATGAGACAGGTTTGCAAAGCACTGCACACACTGCTTGTGCCATAATAAGCACTCGATAAGATCGTAGTTGTGTTTGTTTAAATGTAGTTATTGACTTCTATAGGCTGGTAGAGGACATGAGACCAGATACAAAATTTACCGAGTTGAGAAGTGTGGCAGCCTTAAATTGTTTCTCAATATCCTTAAATATGGCACAGAAGTGAGCTTAAAATGAAAGTGAGAATTTGTTTTTAAAAAACAGCATATGAATAAAAATTCATAATCAGTTACTTTGTGACTTACAAATGTATTATATAATGCTGTTTGTTTTGTCGCAGGTCTCCAATTGAGAAACATGGCACTGTTTTTCCTGCACTCTACCCACCTATTGCTGGACTTCTGTTGTAACAAGTTGGCAAACACTGGCTGGAACTGGGCTGCAATAAAACATGCCAGTATCAATGCTGACAAGAGCCTAACAAGTGCCAACTTACAGATGATTACGCATTTTGAATTCTAATGAACTGTTTTAACCTTCAGGAAGAATTGTAAAGACCTGTACATAGCACAACATGATCCGGATAATATATATACTGTTCATGTACATCCACAAATACACCTTGTACCAAATAATGCTTTCTTGTAGTAGAATAAGAATCGTGTAAATTCTAAAAGATTTTAGCAAGTTTTCTTCCCCCTACTCATTGTTTCTTATGTTTTAAAAGACTCTTTAAAGCATGTCAGATGAAAAGCAATTAGGATTAAAAGTTTCCATTTAATTTCCTTTAAACCATTGAGGCTTCATTAAACTCTTCATTTACTAAACTTTTGTATCTTCTTTGTTTTGACACAGTTCCCTTTGTGTTTATCTTTATCTCTTCTATCTGCCAGAAAGTTTTCCAATCATTTAGTTCAAATACTGAAATACTTAATAAGCAGCTACTTGATTTTTACTGATGACTTCAGAGGAGTGGTCATCACTAGGTGCTCGGTCCTTTTTGTATTCCATTTGCACCCATCACTTGGATCGAATGTAGCAATAACATATTTTGGCTATTGAGAGCTCTTGAACTGTCATTATTCCCAAGAACTAAAAAGAGTTGGTTCTGAATTCACTTACTGAAATATACCCCAAATTATACAAAATTCTGATTTGGTTTTATTTTTGCCCTCCAGTTACCTAATGTTAAGGTTCGACGAATAAAGCATGCACGACTACAGGCTTCATACTTAACTTCTGAGTTTGCTATTAAAAATGCTATTTTGCCTCATGCCCTTCTCCTTAGCCCTTCATATTTCTTTGCCTCTATTCTTCTATACTGCAGATTTTTCTCACTTATTGTATAAAGAAATTGCGATGTATATTTTCATGTAATTTGATTTTGGAATTCTGTCACCTTATGTAGTGAGTTCTTCCAAAATATAATTTTTTTCCAATAATTGTCAAGTTGTTGGCTTTTATTGTATTGAATGAAGGTTATAATACTGAATATCAGAGAAGTTCAGTTTAGAAAAATCTCAGGTTGATTCCTTATGCAAACAAGCTTTTAATACTTGAAAATCACATGGCTATGGCAGTATATATATTTCTCTGTCTGGATGGATTCTTATGTGAATCTCAAAGCATTATGGAGGTGTCAGTGCTTTGCTACTTGACATACAGGTTCTGTCACTGACATTGTGCACTTGGATTTTATTAACATTTGAGCATAAATATATTTTAATTTTTCTCAAATTCAGGAAGTGGTAAAATGTGCAGTGCTAAAGGCAGGTCCAGAGTCTTCTCTGTTCGGTATGACGTTGGGATTGGGAAGTAGTCTTGGCATATAAGGGCTAGGAGGTGATACAGAACCAGATGGTACATGGCATTTAATTGTGAGAACCACTGAGAATTGGTGCATTTCTGCTCTGGGTAGTTTGGAGAAACACTTTGGCAGAACAGTGAAAGGACTCCTGCAAGTAGCCTAGTCCTCTACAAACTGTTCACGTCCTTGTTTAAACAGAAGTGAGATGGTTAAGGATGTAGTCACCACGGAGTGATTTTTCTAAATTCCAGACTCTTCTTGACTCTGAAACATTATAAAAACCTATAAATGTGTAATAACTGAAAGTGAAAGTGTTTCTATTACTCATTGAGGCCTAATTTTTTAAAAGAACTTTCTGACTTCTTTCCCCCACAAAGACTCTTAAGATTGTTGCCCTAAAGTACTAGTATTGTATACCTCCCTGGGACTTTGAACACAAGTTCTTTACTCTTAAATCAGAAATTGTTCACGCAGTGGTGGTTGTGACAAAACAGAGTCTGAATTTTGCTCTCCTGTTGCTAAGATTCTGCAAGCTATATGTTGAGTTAAAACCTGGCAGTTTTACTCTTCAGGGAGTAGCAAATGACCTAGTAACTCAGGGACAACTACTCTTGAACTTCTAAGTGCCACTTTAATGCAGTTACTTTGGTATAACCATGTGTGTTTAGGGCTTAGATCTAGGGGAGTATAAGGGGAGCCAGGAACGAGTGCATCTTCCTTCACACTCCTTTCGCCTGGTGCCCTGACCTACTGCGTGAGGAAACGGGCCTTCTTGGCGGTGGTTTTGACTGCTTTTCCTCTGTCAGAGGTGTCATCTGTGCCTTTCCAAGAGTTCATCTGACAGTGAATCTAAATGCCTCTGTATTTGTTATTAAATCACACCTGGGTGACACTGACACAGGTGGCTGTTGTCCCACCAGTGCCTCTCCATTAGTGTGAGGTGAGTCCTTTTTTGCTTTGGGAAAAGGACCTCTCTCCCTAACCTTGTGCCAACTATTGACTTCTGCATAGTCTTATGGATTATAGAACTGTTGACTGCTTCCTAAATTTATTCCAAGTTCTTGTAAAGGTTTATAGATTTCAGTCTGTGCTCAGTGTGGGGTGGACGATCTCAGTAGCTTTTGGCCTCTTTGTGAGTTTAAAATCTATGAGGTTGGTTTTCTTGTCATTATAAGGTAATAATCTTTGTGAGGTTATTCCACTGACTCTGCGATCACTTGGGTGTCATAGTATTTTTTCAGTGGCCTTCGTTCTTGGTTGTGAAGTTTTATATGCTCACTCACCCTCTACAGAGCTGCCCATTTTGGGTCGTGGTGCCTGTGTATTTTTGCCCATCTGGTCTCCAGTTGGTGGAATTACCTTTTTTGTCTGCCACTTCTCAGCACCTTTGAAATTTGACATGATGTTGCTTCATTCCAGTTTTTAGATCTGTAATTTGTTGATTGTACTTAACTATGTGAGTTCTATTGTGATGTTTACTGTATTGTAAAGCACCTCGATCATGTGATGGGGGCTCTATAAATCAATAAATGATGACTTAGAGGCTGTATTATGAGCTATTTTGGTTTTAGGGTGCAGGTCTCAAAAGTGAGTTGTGGGATTCTTTTTATCGGCACATGTTACCAAAAGGTCCACAAGGGAACCTTGATAATTTTAAAAACTTCATTTGAAGAAGAAACCAGAGGGTGGGGAGTTAACTTGACTTCTCACCCGATATAATAGTCTTAAATTTTCTAGTACTGAGCCAATCACCCTTCTTTACTCGGAGTTTTCTGTGATGCTGATATAGAATGTGAATAAAATGAGTACACATTAGAACATTATTCAAAATGTTGTCTTTGGGCTAAACTGGCTCTACTATAAAGATAAGGAAAGGCTGAAGAGCCTAAACTCATGTGAACTGAAAGAGACCACAGGTACTATCTCAGTCACCACTTACCCTCCTTTAAACAGATGGGCACACTTGGCCAAAATACCTACCCAGGACCACCCAGTAAGTTAGTGGCAAAAGAGGCAAGACTGAGTATTTTACCTTTTTTTTTTTTTTTTTTTTTAAACTAGGATGTCACTGCCCTGGCTGGTGTGGCTCAATGGATTGAGTGCTGGCCTGCAAACCAAAGGGTCACCAGTTTGATTCTCAGTTGGGGCACATGCCTGGGTTGTGGGCCAGGGCCCCAGTTGGGGGTGTGTGGGAGGCAGCCAATTAATGTGTCTCTCACACATCGCTGTTTCTCTCTTTTGCCCTCTCTTCTCCCCTAAAAATAAATAAATAAAATATATATATATAAAGAAAAAGATGTCAAAAGCTTCTCACCCTGCATCCTTACGTATGGTTCATATGGATGTACAGTGTTAGGTATTGAAAGCTCATTTGTCTTGATACAAGCTGCCAGTGGTCATTAAGGATTCTTTTACAAACTGAGAAAAGAACATGGAGCTGAATTAAAAACAAGAAAATCCTTGAGAGCAGTTTGGGAGAATTTGGGAGGATAAACATATTCGGAGTTTAATTTCCCTGGTAAATATATTGGAATAAAACTCAGGAGAATATGGGTGATGTTTCTGAACTTTATCAGTTTTATGCATAACCATCTATTCAATGCACATAGCAAAAATGTTTTTTTTCTCCCTGCAAGCTGTTTCAAATGCAGAAGAGGTTTTGAGTGTGTCTGCTGTGTGCAAGGCACTAACTAGGCTTTGAGGAAGGACCAGTTGATTTTCTCCCTGCCTCCCCCAATAGAGATAGGGCTGTTACCACCTTATTACATTAAAATGTTTTCATTTTCTGGAGGACTGCAAACCTCAACGGGATTTAGTTTGCAGAGCAAGTTAATTCCAGGAAAAGGTATTTTTGGTTGCTCTGTTTCAGATGTGTATAATCTGCCAAGGTAGGATTAGGCTGTTTGGCTTGTTGAGTCAACACATCACACTGAGCTGTAGTGAAATGATTAAAGAATTTTGAATCCTAGTCGCGTAAGAGGAATAAACTAAAAGAGAAGGAAAAAAATGTACAAGCAACCAGACACATCTGAGATGTAGGAGCACACAGTAAGCCATAGGAAAGATGCTGATTTTTTCCCCCTACCCAGCAGTATCCACTATGAATAAGTATACTGGCACTTGTGACATTTATTCCTTAAAAGCACCAGTTCCTATTTACTGAGCTTCTACTTAGTGTCAGGCTTGTACTAGGTTTTATAAAGGACCTAGCCACATTCTTAACATGGATCCTTCAAAGTCATAGTTTCTCATGAGGAAGCAGGTTCAGATAAACTTGTCAAGATGGTAGAGCAAGCAAATTCCACGGCCAGGATTCAGTTCCATGACCTTCCTGACATACTGGGTGCCACGACCCCTTACCTGAGGAACATCTTTTTCCAAGGTTACGTAGAGAGTGGTTACATTGAGGCTGGTACTTGGACCCAATTCATTGGACTACCAGTCTAGTGGTTCCTTCCCTTGCTCCTCCTACCATGGTACGTCACGGCCTTCCCAGAAAAAAATCTGTTCCCTTGTGCTCTTAGGGCAGTGTTTATCCCTTCTGCACTTCACGTTCCCTGCCTGAGACAACCCCACATTGTTTCTCTTAATCTGACAGCAAAATCTGAGATCTAAAGTGAACCATGGTTTCTAGTGCTCCTATTTTTTCAAGATAACTATTTCAGGTCCTATCTAGTGCAACTCCATCCAAGCCTATTGGGTGTTGCAGTTCACTGAGTACTACAGATGCTTTATTTTACAGGCTTTGTTATGAAGTCTATAAGCTCAGAGGATTCAAGCCCATTAAAGAACCCACTTAGGAGACAAGGGCCCAGAGATAGGGTTATATGAAAGTCATTTCTAAAAGGAGTGCTTTCACCTCTGATAGAGGACTTCTTGAAGGTAGGTTTTGTTTGATCAAGCCCTTCAGTTGATTAAATCTCTTAAAGTGAGTGCTCTTGACTGTTGGCTTCTCATCCAAGGAAACTGAAAGGGCACAAATTTGTTTATTCCTATGTGTGCTCCCCTAAGGGAGAGGGTTTTCATCAAATTCTCAAAGGGGATAATACTCTCCAAATCATTAAGAACCATGGATTCTATAGTCCAACTCTTTCTTGAAAAAGAGAATATGAGATGGCAGTGTAAAACTTGCAGAGACTTGTCCGTGATCAACACAGCAAATCATCTGCAGACTTGAACCCAGTTTTCCAGACTGCCGGTATAGGTCACAATGCTCACAACTCATCAAACGTTCTGAACAGCTGCTGTGTGCCAGACACTAGTGAGATGAGTGTTAGGGAGACAAAGGTAAGTTATATGCTGTAAAACCAGGCATCAGTTATGTCAGCACTTAATCAACTACTTTTTTATGTTGTGACCAGAAGATATTGGTAGGGTACTGTTAAGTACTTGTGGCCAGAGGAAACTGGCTTGCCTGGCCACCCTGTCTGTGGCCACACTGAGGGCCCCAGGAGCTCACCATTTGGCACACTCATAACCCAAGCTTGATGGAGGATTGGAGCTATAGCATCCCCATCGAGCCTGGCAAGTACAGTATTCCCTTTCCCTCCTTAGTCTACGTGTTGCTTGCTCAGTGCAGCTCCTTTAAATACCCCCCATAAATACCCCCCTGCTTATACCTCCCATACCTCCTGGCCATATTGTCACCCACTACAACCAGAACATCGTTTCCCTGAGCATACACCACTGTTTTATTTATTTTAGTTATTTAGAGACGGGAAGGGGAGGGAGAAAGAGGGAGAGAGAAACATCAGTGTGTGGTTGCCTTTCCCTACTGGGACCTGGCCCACGACCCAGGCATGTGCCCTGACTGGGAACTGAACCAGCGACTCTTTGGTTTGCAGGCCAGCACTCAATCCACTAAGATAAACATCCAGGGCTGTTCTTACATATTTCAATACCCTCTTCCCTTCCATCCCCCAGGTGTCCCTCAGCCAGAATTACTCTCCCTCAAAATTTTAACCCATGACCCTTGTGTTTCCATGTTCTAAACTCTAAATTCTTTCTCCACCTCACTACCTATTAACAATCTGGGCAGCACCTAAAACTTCAAATACTCCCCTTTTTCTGTTCTGACACCCTCATCCTGTCTCAGATCCTTCCTTCAAACTACCATCTTTTACTCTTGGCTCTGTTGATGCCACTAGGAGTGGGTACATGCAGCATTCTTTTGAAAGGTTTTATTTATTTTTAGAGTGAGGGGAAGAGAGGGAGAAAGTCAGGGAGAGAAACATTGGTAGGTGAGGGAAACAAACATCAATCGGTTGCCTCTAGCAGGCACCCCAGCAGGGGAAGGAGGAGCCTGCAACCCAGGCTTGTACCCTGACCACGCCCAACCAACGGAGCCACACCTGTCAGGGTCACGCAGCATTCTTTTGATTCTCCTTTGAGTAAAAATCTGAAATGCTTTGTGCTACTTAGTTGTATTACTTTTAAGTTTTCTGGGTTTTTGTTGTTGTTTTTGTTATTGGTCATTACACATTCACTAAAGATTTTGGCACCTGGTTTATGATCTTTCCCAACCTCTGAATTCCAATATCTAATTTCCCTAGCATTTCCCTTCCACTTCACCTACTGTATTACATGACCTTGTCCTGGACTTAGTGCTGTTTAATTTAGGAACTTCAGTTTGTTACCCTGACCTCAGGGTTCTCACTACCTTGTTCACACTGCCTGGTCTTCAATCTTACAGAAACGTGCAGTTTCATGACTCTGCATCCGTCTTCACACAGCCTGCACTTGGGCTGTATTCTCACAGCACTCTCAATTTCTTTTTGGGAATAACTCCCAAGCCCTGGACAAATGCTATAATCTGTATTCTTCACTTCTGCAGCCAGGTGGCTGAGTTTTGCTAGAAAAAAATACTTACAAGAGAGACCCCTGAAAGCAGGCCCTGCAACCCAAGTCTTCCCAGATTTTCTTCACTCTTTTCTGGTCGGTCCCCTTCATTGCCAAAGAACTTCAACCATAAAATTAATGTCATCAAGCATCCTCCCCAATACCCCCCATCTATCTTCATGCATGTTCTTGTTTCCTAATGTTTTAGTCGAACAACAGTGACCTGCCTCTAGTCCAAAGTGCACCCTTTCCCAGAATTCCTTCTGCATTCACTTGCTGGGCATCCCGCCTCCCCAGGGACCTACAGTCGTCTTTAGCCTTTTCCACTCCTTTGGCTTTTTTCTCTCACCCTTTCATAGTATTACATACAAACCTAAAGCCATAAAACAACAATAATGATAAAAAAAATCCCCTCTGAGCCGTTTTTCCAGAGTAATCTACGCTCGTCGTGTCTGTCCTTTTCAGTGTCCTCCCTAGGGAGTGCCATACGATAGCCCCCGGTCAGTGCCTGATCAGTCCCGAGTTTTGAAGGCACTAGGTGAAGTGAGACAAGACCTCGGTTTTTCCAGGGTCAGACTACTCTTCTCCACTTCCATTCACCGCTTTTTCCAGGCTCGGCTCCTCCCCCTGCCTGGTCTCCCGTGACTCTCGCGAGAACTGTGGCCTCCGTTACGCACCGCCCCAATTCTTCTCGCGAGGCTGCGTGCAGGGCCGGGCCCGACATGGCGGAAGGTAGGGTTTTTGTGGATCCTCGCGGGAAGGCGCGAATCTGTGGGGGCGCTGCTAGCTGGGCAAAGCAACCCAAAGAGGGAACAGCCGGATGTGGTCGCTTAAAATACAGCGGGCGTCGCGAGCCATCCTCTCCAGCCTCTACTGGGCGCGTCGGGCGGGGGTATTGGACGTTATTCCTATGGCAACGCCCCTCCGACGGTCTGGGGCCCCACGGGACCCTAGTCGGCTGCTGAGCCGGCTTGGGAGATGCCCTGCCGGAGCTGAGTGCAGCCGCGGGGATCCCGAGGGCGTCCGGGTATGCTTCTTTGATTGCCCGCGGTGCTGGGACGGTGGGGGAACTAACCCTTCTTCTTAGGAAATCGAAACTGCTGTCCTGGCACCTCCTGCATCCGGAGGGGGTACATTCCTCGCCTGCGGAAGAGCTTGGGACTCTTCTCTGGGTGAGGGGTGGGGAAGAGCCAGGGCTGTAACTGGCCAACGCGCCAGATGGGCACGCTCCGGACCCTCTAGCATCCCCGGGGATCCGGGTCAGCTGGGATTCTTTCCCCTCAGAAGTGCACGGCAGAAGGGGGTTTGCTTGGGAAGGAAGTTGGCCAAGGTCACTCTGCTCCTAAGTGACGTTGTGTGGCCCAGACCTCCCTCTTTACCTCTCAGTCTAGTTCCTGAGCCTCTTTTCTGGCGCCGTCTTTATGACACTGCAGGTGAAGGCAGTGTGCCTCACAGGTTCCATGTTCCTCAACGTAACAGTATTAGAATCCTTCATTGTCAAAGACTTATTGTACAGAGATGGGGAGTTAACTGCCAGGCTCACTACAGGGACACCGTGGTCACTATGGTCACTCTGTTTCTCCTATTCATTTCGTTGTTGGAGGAGAATAACTCCTTATTTGACTTGTTTCTTGAATGACTGCAAAGTGTTGGTCGCGACCTGTTATATTTTGTTTTGGTCATGCTGGTTTTGAATTAAGCTTTGAGCGCATCTTAGCACTGAGATCTTTGAGCCTTGTGTGGCAGTTTGCAGGCTTTTCTCATTTTGGAGAAGACTTCAGAACTACATTGTTGAAGGAGGCCTGGCATGTGTGTTATTTGCATTTTATAGATAAATAAAAGAGATAGCTGGGACTGGCACCCAGTTTTTGTCTTTGCTCTTTTTACCTTGTTAGACCCCCCTCCTACTCACGCCCACCGCGTGAGGGCGAAACGTCAGATGAATATTGTTTGAAAGCGGAGGAATAAAAGCAGAAAGAAAGCAAAGGCATTCTATGAAGCTGGTTTTGTGGTAAATCACAGAATGTTGTGTAACATTGTTTAATCCAGTCAGCAAAATGGAGCTTGTTGCTCAGAGCAGAAAGGTGGGGTAGAAAGGCTTCAGGGAGGCCCTTTGTGGTGAGGTTGTGGGTAGTCCAGCACTTGGACCCTAGGAAGAGAAGTTGATGAGTGCTTTGGGACCACATTAGCAAGGATGAAATTGTGGAGAGCAAGCTGACTTTTCATTCAGCAGTTTTACCGAGCATGTGCTGTGTTGTGCAGGCAGGTTCCAGCCAGGAGGAGCTCACACAGGTTGAGTATGCTGACGGTTATCCTGCCGGTGCCTGCAGATACCAGTATGTGTCAGGGTAGTATCTAGCCAGTGGAGTGTGCATCTTAAACTATGTTTTCAGGGTTGAACTGGCCAGGGGGGATAAATAGGTAAAGTGAGTCAGGGGGTTCTGACTTAACAGTTTTCTTTTACTTTTTTTGTGTCCTAATTTCCTGGCTTCTGATTTAAGCTCTTTGGAAACAGCGTTGCAGTGGGCATTTTGGTCCAGTTAGCACCTTCATCTGAAGGTGCTTATTATGCAAAGAAATGCAAGATTAGCTAGAAAATGCCTTGCAGGGGTGTTATTCTGCAGTAGTTAATTGGAATTTATGAGAGCTGGCTACACTTATTTTTATACTTGTTCCGAGATACTCATTTAAATATAAAAACAGTAAAATCCGTTCTAATTGGATAGTCTGCAAGCGTACTCTATGGGAACTCCCATGGTAATCGTTTTTTTTTGTTTGTTTGTTTGATGGTTTGAGTCCGTGAGCATGAAGAGATAGCTCTTAGGAATAATAAATAGAACCCGGAGAGCCCGAGTATACAGTAATTTCTTAATGTGACTTGCCTAGGAATCAACCTTCTTTGCTTCCATCCATGGGTATTGGTTTGATCATACATAATTAGCTAAAGTCTGTCTTGAAAGTTTTCAGTTCCACTTTACATCTCTGCAGCTGTCCTATTATCCAAACTTTCTTCATCACTCAAAAAGTTCCTCTTACATGGTCTTTCTGCTTTTACTTTTTCTCCTTAATTTTGCTTCCTTACAGCCTATTCTCTTTGAAACATAAATCAGATCATGTCTCTCACACTCTTCTCAGTACACCCACCTCCTCCCCTCCCCTCCCCACTCCCATGGCTGTCCATGACTTTAAAATATATTCCGAAGCCTTACTTTACAATGGCCTTCAAGTCCCATCGGGTCTGGCCCCTGGTTAACACTGTTGCCTTATTTCCTACTTCTCATTCATGGTGCTCTCTCTGCAGCATCTGCTTTGCTGTTCTTTGTACATTCCAACATGCTTCTGCCTCTACTTCTTTGTCCTTGCATTTCCCTTTGACCTGGAACAGTCTTTTTCATTTTCTCCACATAGCTAACTTTTATTCAGGTGTTTGTTCAGTTCCTTTAGAAATCTTTCCTAATTAAAAAAAAAAATCTCCCTTTCTGGAATATAAACCCCATGAGCGCAGAGACTTTTTCTGTTTTGTTCACTGCTGTATCTCCCAATTTAGGATCCTGCCTGTTGATGGAGCAAGTGAATATGTTGAGCATCATTTACCAGATATCAGGAAATGTTGCCTGGATACATCCTTAGTGTCTTGTCAAGTAAGCTGGCTGGTTCAGCTTTTAATGTGCTCTAAATAACATAGTCGGCTGGGAGCTATCTAACCTATTTTCCATCCAGCCTATTTTAGTTTTAACAGTTAAAGTGCAATGCTTACGGGCTCAGTCTGTGCACTTGGACATGGATTTGAATCCTAGTTTTACTAAACTGTGGTCAGAGGCAAGCCGATTAGTTGTTCTCAGTTTCAGTTTTTTTTACTTTAAAGGGGGGGTGATTTCTGTCTCAAAGATAACAATGAGAATCAAGAGAAGTAGCACTTGAAGAAGTTTTTTTGCACAGCTTTTAGACATTTTGACCATGGATGCAGTCTTCCTTCTACTTTCTTAATTGCTTTCCTCTGAGGAGTTAAAGTGAAATTGGAAAAATGTAAATCACTTATTAAACAAATTGATCATGGACTTTTATTACCTTTATCGAATTTGGTTGAGAAAACATCTTTGACAACAATTCAAGTAATAAGGTGAGTGAAGACTTCCCATATTGTGGATACTCACTGGCTAATACAATAGCCACTGGCCACAAATGAAATTAAAAATAAATAAAACAAAATATCTAGTTCTTAGTCCCTAGCTCCATTCAAGTGTTCGGTAACCATGTGACTCCCCATAGTAGCAGATAGCATAGATGAATGCATCATTCCAGAAAATGCTTAATTCATATAGGCAAGTAGAATAGAGAAAGAAGAAACTTCATTCTTTCCAGTTTTGAAATGTATCTCTTAATTTATTATTGTATTCATTCAACAAATTTCCCAGGCCATTGGATACAGTCTGGAGGCCTCTCAGGCGCTGTCGCTTTCTATACCTCTCCTTTCTTTTATCTTCCTTCCCTTTCACTACTGTCAGATGCAGTAGCTGTTAGCCTGCTTGAGGATTTTTTTCCTAAAGAACACTTATCCATTCACTGCACTGACTGTTGATGTGCTAGAGTAGAGCTGTAGGATCATGCTGAGATGTGCAGGGTTCAGTCACTGGCAAGGTGAGTTGCTGGAGTTGAGATATTATCATGACTTACAGTCATGCCCAACAAAATGAGAAATTGCTGTGTCCTCAGTATCTCTTGTTGAATCTTGAGTAAGCCAAGGAACTAGGTTTTTATTGAACTCCACCTAGTAAGGCACTGTGGGGTGGAGGATGGGGTGAGTATGGAGTGCTGAAGTAGGGGAAAGTTATCAAGCAATAGCCAGACCTAGAGCCTATTTACAGGCAACTAGCCAGTGTAGGAGGGGAGGCACACATAGGAAACTATTGTATTGTGCCCTGGCTGGTGTGGCTCAGTGGACTGAGTGCTGCCAGCCTGTGAACCAAAGGGACCCTGGCTCCATTCCCAGTCAGGGCACATGCTTACGTTTTGGGTGCGGTCCCTGGTTGGGGGCACATGAGAGGCAACCACACAGTGATGTTTCTCTCTCTCTTTTCCTCCCTCCCTTCCCCTCTGTCTAAAAATAAATAAAAAATAAAATCTTAAAAAAAGCCTATTGTATTGTGGACAGTGAAATATGCGTAGGATTACTTTGAAAATTCAGAATGGGAAGAGATTGTTTGAGGGAAGTGGTGGGGTGTATGTTTTGTTTTGGGTGATTAGGGAAGGCCTTTTACTGCAAGTGTTTGAACTGGGCTTTGGGAAATAGGCCTCTTTTGGACATGGGAGGAGATGTTAGGGGGAAGAGGTCACACTGCTCTTGGTAGAAGGGTATGAGGCTAGAAAAGTATGTTAAGGGCTGATTATGAAGGAATTGATTAAACATTTGGATTTTACTCTGTGGGCCATGGGCTGAGGCTGCAGAAAGGTGCCAGCCAAGATAGTAACATGACTAGAATTGTCTGAGGCATGCTGAAATGGCTATATGTGGAGGATGAATTTGGGCGGAAGGGAGGCTGGCAAGAAGGTGGTAGCAACTGATGATGGGTCCTTTTGTAAGGGGCATTGGGGCTGGTGAAGACTGATGTGAGAGAGACTATAGAAGGTCAAAAAGACAAGACTTTTAGAGCCTGCTTGCATGTTGATGAGAGATATCCAGGAAGACTCGGGGGTTCTAGGTCTGTATGACCCAGATATGGCTGGACTGTTAACAGGATGAGGAGGAACAGCCTTGGGAACACGTATCCTGACCTCAATTTTGGCCATTCTTGCCATGCCTGATAGACCTTTGTGTGGTTTGTCTTAGGCTGTTGAACGTGTTTCCAGTCTGACTGGCCTTTGGGTAAAAATTACCTGGTTGATATCTATTATCATCTTTACTACCTAAGTAGTCCTGGGTAGTAAGTTTTATTTGTAATTGGGGTAAAGGGTTTTTGAAAAAAAATTTATTATTCTTTAATCCTCACCTGAGGATTTTTTAAAAATTGATTTTAGAGAGAGAGGAAG